ATGTAATAATATTGATAACAATAAGGTCTAGACCTTACTTTGTAAAGTGTCCTGAGATGACTTTTGTTGTGATTTGGCGCTATACAAATAAAATTTGATTTGATTTGATTTTATAAGTAATAGCACTGACTGAGAGCAGTGCTATCTGCATCCCATTACCCACAGCACAAATCACAAAGACAAAGCAGGCTTCTTGGTAGAAAAGCTGAGCAGCTGCTTCTTGAAGCAGCCTGAGCTATGTCATAATGGGCCACACTCTTCTGCACTCTGACAAGCTAATGGATTTGATTCACCAGAAGACAAACTGCTTCTTTCAAAACCTTCTCACTCATTTCTTGCTTTTTCTTTTCTCACTCAGACACAAAGCAGACTCATCTAATCCTCAATATATGTATACACTGAACATATAATACATGCACATGGATATGTACATAGTCACTTCAATAAGCATTCAGCCAGCTTCACCTTTTTCACATTTGTGCTGTAGATTGTATTTTAAATAGATAAAACTGCCATTCTGCCCACGAATCTATACTAAATAACCTATAATGACAAAGCGAATGCAAATTATATGCATGAGGCCTCTATCGAATAATCTCCCCACATAGTTTTTGACTGTTCAAACAACATAAAATTCTTGTGTGAAAGGGATGACAGCTTGATGGGACTACTGTGAATAAAGCGGATGGGTGAACACCAAAGCTCAGCTATGAAAGCAGAAGCTGAGACACAGACTCTTGTTATAAAATGGGAAATTTGACCTTAGTAAGAAAACTGTTAAAGATGACGTTTTTACACATAACATGCTGAAAATGTGAGTGTACAAATTCCATTGGGTGATTCATATCAACCATGCTGCTGAGGTTTTACCATTATAATCTACATTTGCAAACTGCTGAATGGCCTCATCACAAATCAGTTTCACTATTCAAACAATGACCTTGCTGTTCATAAGTAAGTCAAGGAGAACTTGATGCAACTCTAAAACCTTGAAACAACTCAGATACTTTGTGAATACACTACAATATGCATAGTCCATTCATCATTCAGAACACATCCTGAATGGACCTTGGCAGGAAAACAAGTTATACTTTTGACAAAGGTGAATTCATAACTACTTTCCTTTTAGGCAGTACATTCATTGTCACTGCAAAGAAAATGAACTGCTCAGAAAAATTAAGGGAACACTTAATCATCACAGTATAAGATCAAGCCAGTTAAACTTCAGGGATATCAATCTGTCCTTCTTGGAAGCACAAGTGACTGTGAATCAGTTTCACCTGTTTTGGTGCAAATGAAAGTAATAACAGATGCAATGGAGAGGCAAAAAAAGAAAGCCCTCAAAAAGGGAATTGTTTTGCATGTGGTGGACAGATCATGGAGGAGATACCAGGAGACCAGCTGCTACACCAGGAGAGTGGGACAGGGCAGTGGAAGGGCAATAACCCAGCAGCAGGACCAGTATCTGCTTCTTTGTGCAAGAGGAGTACTGACAGAGCCCTACAAAATGACCTCCAGCGGCTACTGGTGTGCATATTTCTGAACAAACTGTCAGAAACAAGCTCCATGATGGTGGCATGAGAGCCCCATGTCCTCTAGTATGACCTGTGCTCATATTCCAGCACCATGCAGCTCAACTGGCATTCGCCAGAGAACACCAGAATTGGCAAGTCCACCACTGGCGCCCTGATCTCTTCACAGATGAGAGCAAGTTCACACTGAGCAGATGGGACAGACGTGAAAAAGTCTGGAGACTGCGTGGTGAACGTTAATGCAGCCTGTAGTATCATCGAGAATGATCGTTTGGTGGTGGGTCAGTGATGGTCGGGGGAGGCATATCCTTGGAGGGCTGCACAGACTTCCTTGTCATAGCCAACAGCTCCCTGACTACTGTGAGGTACCAGGATGAAATCCTTAGAGTCAGACATTACACTGGTGCAGTGGGCCCTGGGTTCCTCCTGGTGCAGGACAGTGCCCAACATGATATGGCCAGAGTGTGCATGTAGTTCCTGGATGACGAAGGCATCGATGCCATTGACTGGCCCTCATATTTCCCTGATCTAAATCCAGTTGAGCACCTACGGGACATTATGTATTGGTGCATCAGACGCCACTAAGTACCATCACAGACTGTCCAGAAGCTCACTGATGCCCTGATCCAGGTCTGGGAGGAGATCCCCCAGGACACCACCCGTCGACTCATGAGGAGCATGCCCAGACATTGTTGGGAAAGCATACAAGCACGTGGAGGCCATACACACTTCTGAGTCACATTATGAGTTGTCATTATGAAATTTATGCAACTCTTTTCACTTTGCTCTTCAGTGTGACTTTGAATACAACCTCCAGGTATTGATGATTTTGGTTTCCATTGGCCATTGTTGTGTCTTTTTGCTCTCAACAAATTATCCAATGTGTATTAGGAAAGGTTTCCAACTTGAATAATTCGTTCATCAAGAGCCGATGTGTGATTTAGTGTTCCTTTAACTTTTTTGAGCAGTGTAAATGATGCACTGTATCATGTCCTTGTGTCAAGTCCAATTAGTAGTGAAAGAAAAATAGGTCATGATGATTCATCTCCTTTTCACTGCCATTCATTGCTTTATACCTATGTTAAAGCTATTTTATATAACCAGTAAGTATTTCTAAACGCTATTTATAAATGACACTTAGTATTTATGAACGCAGCTTCATGCATCAGCACAATCAAGCAGAGTCTCGTGTCACGGACTGCCATTTATTCCTTGATGTACACGTATATGAGCGTCCTGTATGGCAACCAGACCAGCAGTGTGCATCTGTTTACTGAATTGAAAGTTTTCTTTTTTCACTTTAATAGTTTCTCCCACACCTCCCATATCCCATGATCCTTTGCGTTAGCAGTGGAAAATCAAAATACCTTAATATAAATATATACATTTTGCCAATTTCAATGGTGATTTTTTTCATTATAAAGGATGGCATTTATATACACACACACACCAATAAAGGGCAGAATTATTATTAGAGACCGTATTATTAGAGTTATCATATCATATTATATATTGGCTCAAAGATATATTGAATATATTTCTGAAGTGCTTTTCTACAAAAAATGTGGTACACAAAAAAAAATAAATTACCTGACCTACAAATGATGAAGAACATTCTGTTAATTGTGAGGGGACCTGAAAGCCATAAGGAATGTACCCGAAGAAACAATGAACCATCGCCTCACCACAGTGAATTTGTTAGCAACAGTTACTGGTTAACCATACACCATAACGTATTGTATATAAAGCATGTGCCCCTGGGGAGCTGGGCCAGCCAAGGAAGCCAGTGAGAATAGCTCTCATCTGTTGGCACAGCTACTAACTGGGTGAGATGCCTCATTATAGTTTTGATACACTATCACTTGATTTTCAGTTCTAATGTGGATGTGCAGACAGTGATAGAGTAAATATAGATGTCTTGTGGCATGAGCAATGCTGGATAAGTGAAGTAACAAGCCTACAAAGGGGCAGCAAACCAATCCATTTTTTAAAGTAGGTTTTGACAGCTGTGCAGCATTTTGATTAGTTTTAGATACTGACAATTGTAAAAAAAAAAAAAAAAAATCCTGAAATAAAACCGAGTCTTGAAAAGCTTGAAGGTGGAATATGAGACAGGATTTTATAGCAGCATGTTGCTTTGCCACCCATAAAAGGGCTATACTGTATATGCCTTTTGGCAATACTCAGTGGTTTAATCTCATTCTTGTTTTCGATATCACTCATACTGCATTTCAACATTTTGGAACAGGATACTTCAAGTTTAACATGGCAAGTCCAAGCATATCAGCAAGCAGATCATTTCAAGGTCGGCTGTAAGTGCAGCACAGACAACCCTTTTCTGTGCTTAAACTTGGACTACAAATGCCATTAAACAGAATTATATCCAGATGTGGACCACAATGAGGTTGATGACAGGAGACAAATGGGAGAACAGTGTTTCTGCTAAGTCATCTGTGGGGGTAAACTATCAACCTTGCGCTTTCTGAGCTGCTAATATCAAGTATCTACTGAGCAAGGGAAATGAGAAAATATAATCAATAAGAAATGAAATGAACATGTTCTAATCATATCTGTTATGAAATATGAAAAAGCATTTTTATAGAAAATTTAGGGTAATTTTTGTATTGCATAATTAGTAGGTGATTTTTAATCCTGCAATTATTTGTGTGCGTGTGTGTCTGTGTGTGTCTGACTGATACAACCCTAATTACAATGTCCTAACTTTCTAAAAATTAATGAGCTTTGTAAAATACTCATGTGCCACTTGGCACAGCCTTATAAGGCTATTAAGAGCTTCGCATTAGTATTTTTGGGGGGTGGGGGGACGACATGTATGACTCTGTAGTAGCTGTGATAAAATAACCACACCCATTACAATTCATCATATAGTAATTATTATGACCCAAATGAAATTTCATTGCATTGTAGCATTGCAGTTGTATTGTAAAGTGCATCAAACACATTCCAGTGTCAAACGTTTATGTTTAACACTGGGAAGTTTGACACACACGCAGAGGCGGAGAGTAGGATTTTTGTAGTCTTATGAAAGACGGACTACCAGATCTTTATGCGCAGAACAAACAGACACACAGTGTACAATACCTCTGGAAATGCTTTTTCTTCCTTCTGCATGTAGTAATTCTTCTTAAACTCATAATAGGCATTGTACTGATGCCAAGACTGCAGAAAGTCAAACCTGTAAAGTAGTCAGAGGAAGAACATAAACAGTATAAGATGAGAGGTGAGCCCTCATAAAAGATGAGTCATAGGATAATTAAGAGGTTCTTCAGTATTTGAAAGGAAATTTACTCATAAAAGTTCTTAAAACCAAGGCCTGGCTGGAGCAACAGGTTTATTTCTGGTAAGAACACCTACCGTGGATCATTCTTGGCACGAACACTGGCCTCAAACTTTACACCGTTCCTAGCAACGTATTCTGCCAACTTGTCTATGACTGGCTGGATGTCTGGCGCTGGGGGAACGATGGCTGGTGCTGCTGGTGCAGAAACCTGAGCCTCCACTTTTGAACTGTTTTAGGGAGAATCATTATTATTATTATTATTATTTATCGCAATAATTTCATTTACACTTATAATTCAATAATAACTGGCAAGGCAGGGCAAACACCATAAATTAAGCATTTTTTGTAAAAAAAAAAAAAAAAATTATAATGTTTGATCTTGAATATAATTATGAAGATATTTATACCAGATTCATAATACTTGGTTTTGGATGCAGCAAAAATACCAAACAGACTAAAATTCAATTACATGCTTTCATGCCATAAAATGAAATATTCTGTGACACAGGGATGTCCACTACTTCCTACCTGGTTGCCGGTACACTCTCTGGAACAGCAGAACTGGTGACTTGAGAGGGGGCTGTATCTGGTGGTGCCATGGCAATAGTTCCAGCAGGGGCAGGTGTGGTCCCCAAATGAGGCAAAGTCCCAGAAGATGTAGGAGGAGGAGCAATAACAGCTGAGGGCAAACTGTTATAATAGGAGCTGGCATCTATCCCTGGGGGTGGTGGGGCCATGCAGTACGTTCCATCAGGAAGCATATAGTACCCATAGTATATTGCTGGTGGATTTGATGTAAAACAAAAGAGAAGAAAATCAATAGGTAGAATACTCAATAGAAGTGCTTCATGAAGGACAAACAGTTCTGTTAATTCATGTGGGATATACTACAGATGAATACAGAGCCCTGCATCAACAGTTGATGTGTATGAGTGAAGCTATTCCTGCTTTGTTTATGAATGAGTGAATGAACAGCGTCACTTTTGAACATGGACATAAACTGCACAATATAATGCCATTCATTCTAATAGCCATGCAGTAAATAATGGCTCTGAGAGAGTCATAATGTTCCATTTATGTTGAGACTGCTATAAGCATTGATTCAACCCTATGTGACCTTAAAGGCCATAGTGTGTGTGGTGTAATGCTGCAATGCTGTAAAGTGTGGGATGTTTCTTTGCTCAGTTAAGTTGCAAAGTAAAAAGTACAGAAAAACAATTATTTCAATTTTATGAGAAATTACAGTCACAACTGTTTTACGAATTCATTTCAAAGCCTTGCCACAGCAAACGTTTTGTTTCAACTGTAGTGTAGAACATTAAGAGGTCAAAGAAAAGACATCTACCACTACCAGGCTTGTTTAGTGAGCCCCAAAAAATAAATAAATAAATCGCAAGTGCCACATTTGTGAGCCATTAGAGGTACTAAGTTCACCACACAACCCATGGTTTCTCACTGTACTGTAAATATAAAGTGAACAGTACATATTTTCATATTACACTCTTGGATGAAATCTGAACGATCAAGCTGAGCTGATTATGTGCTCCAGCCTGAACTTGCTTTAAGATGATCTGCTCTTAAAAATACTTTAAACTGTCAACACTGAAAACAGAGGCAAAGTGTGAGCTGCTGCATTCAAATTGGCCACTGAACAGCAGCACATTAAAGTGTTGTTGTGGTCAGACATCAAGGGTAAAGTGTTGGTGAAGTGTTCATTATAAGGCTGTGATGGGCCTTCTGTTGCTGAAGCTTGCTTTGTGGGGTGGTTGTCCTGTTGCTGTCAAGCTATGTTTTTGTTTAATACATCCACCACAGTAATTAATTTAAATCAGCAGAAAGAATGGAATATAAATCAATATGTGACCTATACACAAAAAGGGCATCTCCCTTATCAGCACATCTATATTACGAAAACCCTTTATTGATAGGATAGAGAGTAGTACAGGGACAAAATAAATTGTCAGTGTCACAGTGGAGACAGTCTGATATTAACACATTAGTCACTGAGCTGGTTGACTTTTAATGACACATCCAATTTTCTCTAGTCAGGGAAATGGAAACCCAAAGCAGGAGCTCTCATTTACTAACCTGACATGTGCTACAGTTGGAATAAACACTTAAGAAATGCAAGTGAAAGGCCAAAAAAGGAATGAAATTCAACTGAAATACAGATGGCCAGACTGCTAGATATCTCTCCTAGACTGACTTTAATGTTGAAGTTACCTGGTGTTTGGATTTGCTCTTAGCATACTCATATCCACCAGGGTCAAAAGGAATGTTTATGTAACACTTAACTAAAAGAGGCACTCCACTACAAAAAAGGTAATGGAGCAACTTATTAACCAAGCCCTGCATTAACATCACAGCCAGCAGAAGAGAAAGTGTTCACACTGGACCGAACACAGCTACATGGATGGACGAAATTAAAAGCCTCCAATTTGAGCAACAGTGCATATCAAACAAAACGCTTATTTTTGCAACATAGACCAGGTCAAAGGACGCCTACCACTACTGTCTCAGGGATGGATAAACCGCAGTAATGAACTACTAGGCACTCACAGGTCAGCAGGCACTACTGACCATAGGTTTATTTAAGCAAATGCTTCAGGAGAGGATGAGCACATACATGGGCCAATTACTCAAGTGCCAGTGTGATGAGTGGAGTGGGGACGGATGTGAGGAGGGACTATTCACATATGCACAAATGGGTCCATTGTCAATGTGTTTGTAAGAGAGAGCGAAGCAATGCGCTGTGCACAGCTCAACAATGAACTAAGATTTATTATTTAGATTTATTATTATATTTTACCCATCTTAAAAGGTAATACAAATATAATAAAATAGTCAATATGTGGCAGTCATTGGTGATATTTGTGGTGGGGTGCCACAAATAAGTCAATGTAGGGGAAAGATGTGTGTCGACATACTGCATGTTGCTCGTGTGATCAAACTATCTCAGCACCAAGGGCGCACATGCAAGTCTGACCTGTCCCAGAGCTCAGGTGGACTAGAGTGTATAAACCTGTAAGCTGGTTCAGGTCAGGTCAGGTCCTCTGGTTTTCAGGAAGTCTAACCTACCATACAATACCACTAAGCTCAGTATTACTTTGCTGAAAGTTGTTGAAAATGTCTTTACATCAATTATAGACTATGGCCAGCATTAAGCAGTGAGGAACTGTACTGAACATCCAATATTGACAGAAGACAGCCAAGTGGTCCAAAAGAACAAAGTAAAATTCAAGTTTAATACCTATACTAAACAAGGAAATGAAAAAGGAAAGACAGAACAAAATAAGGTAGCTCAGGCCCAACATGTGATGCACAGTTGTCTTTTGTTTCAACACCCCAAAAATATCTATCTAATGATATCTCCATCGATAGATATACTGACAGACGGACGGACACTCACGTTCAGCACTGTATTGTATTGGTGTGCTGGGTACAGATGGGGCTGTCACTTCCTCTGGTTTGGGCGTCATTCCTGCAGTGCCATTTCTTTCCTGTTGGGCTTTTTGTACAAGTACTGCCAGAGGATGGTCTGGGTCCATTACTTTAAGTGGCTGCAAAACAGCAAGACCTGTTTGGTGAAAACTGTATTTCACACCATTATGTTATCTTGTGCTTAAGTAAAGGTCACTGAAACCAGCTATATGCATAATGTAGGAGACAAAACTATTTAGTAATATTATAATAAATGCACCAAACATTGAGAGCTCTCTCTCTCTCTCTCCCTCTCTCTCTCTCTAGAATCAGAAACCAGAAAACCATTAGCAAGTGTTTGAATGCAGTGCAGTATTTAAGCACGACTTCACAGTAATCTCAAGCAGCACTTTCTCAGCACTATAGGAGACATCTAAAGGATTAAATTGACATTTAACCCCATAAATGACTAATTATGGTTCCTGAGCTAAAGATTATAGTAGTTGATTTGAAAAGAAAATCTCTCTTAATGTGAGGTAACTTTCAGACAGTTTGCTACTAAATTGAGCCCATTATGTTTCTTTAAAAAGACATGCTTCAGTTCTTGCTGCTCAGTTAAAGACTAACAGCTGCCCTGACAAGGCACATGAAAGAACTCGCAAAAATCCGTAAGAGCATGGAGACAGGGGAAGAGAATATTGTTATTACAACAGGCATTAGCAGACATGGGTGGCACTAACAGAACGTACATGTAATAGTAGGCAATGACTAGCCTTCTACCAGTTTGCAGCATTCTTACATATTGTATAATGAAGCCAGTTTCAGTTTGGGCCCATTTCATGAAACAAAAACCATGAATGTCAAAATTTGGTGAGAAATATTTTTCTTATAGACTGATGGATATTTTCATTTCATGAAGCAAAAACCATGCATGTCAAAATTTGGTGAAAATTATTTTTCTTATAGACTGATGGATATTTGGTTTTTATGTTATAAAAGATGTTTAAAACTGTATCAGATCACCTGAAAATATGTCTTCTCCAAGACAAAAATAAATAAAACAAAACAAATAACAAAAAAAGAGCTGCTTTGAGCTGCTTTTCTAAGCCCACTAAAATGAGAAGTTTTAGAGATATATGCTTTTCACAGGACAGCAATGCAATTTTAAGTAGCAACTATATCAAACAGGTCCAGCCCCACACTGGGTTACCTTCATCAGCTCCTCCAGGCGAGAGCTCTTTTTTGGGGCAAAGAGGCTGGGATGGAGGTAGTTACCATCCCCATCCTCATCTGAATCAGATTGCGACTCTAATGTGAGAAAGCAAAAACAATGTAAAAAGTAATAACAAATTTCAATGTCTGTGTCAGCGCACAGGTAAACAGCTATAGATTTAGTGACCGATTTCTACAACTCACCTTGCGCGGGCTCTTCCTTATTTGTAGAGACAAGGCTGTATCGGCCTTCCTTCATGGCCCGAAGGATGTGCTTGTAGTAAGGGTTCAGGTAATGGTCAAAGCGAAGGAAGTCAAACTGAGAGTTACCGGACTGCTTAGCTTTCAGCACTATCTCAAACTGAGCCCCTTGTTGACTCACAAATTTGGCTGTCCTCTCAATGATGTTATGGGTCTTGATGGTTGCTGGCTACAAAACAAAAAGGTAAAAAAGAACCAAAGATGTTAAACTTAACATATTTAATGCAGACAGATTCAATTTCTTTGTTTCTGAAAAAAGAAAGGTGGTAATTTGCTAAATACAGTAATAGTGTTTATACAAACACATTTAAAGCTGAAAATAAGCATCAGTAGAGCAGATAAGAGAGAGTGAACCTGACTGCTGCACATGACATTAAGATGCAATGCACAGTTTATGAATAGCTTGTTCATACCAAGGACAAAAGCTATTCTGTCTCTGAAGCATTTTCATGCCAAGCACTCTTATGTTCATTGTGATTAATTAATTAATTCTGAAAACACACATGGGGTGGAAAATCAGTCGAACAAGAAATGGTCCATTATTCATTCATTATTGGTCCCCTTGTGAGCTTTCAATGATTAATCATTGTCATTACCTAGAGAGTACAGAAAAGTGCAGCGTCTCCTGGAGCACACACATATCTCAACAGGGTGAAGTCATAATAAATACTACCTTTCAAGACACTGGCCAAAAAGATGCCAGCTGTCCAACCCTAACAGACCATTATTGTGTTCTATGCTGCCAAGGACATCCTGAGATACAAGGACCCTTTGCACTCTGATTAAAAACAGAGCTATTAAGGAAAAAGGGGGTGTATAATATTTGTTTTGTCCTGTCATGATGTACACAAGGAAAGTATCCTCCCCCGCACCTACAACTCAACAACACTGCTGCCCTGGCAGTCACACAGCAGTCACACAGCATGCCACCACTCTGAAAGTATAACACTATTTACAGACAATTGGTTTACACATAGAAAAGAAGCATCATCTTGGCCCTGTCAAGTGAGACGCATGCCAGTGAATTGTGACATCCTGTGTTCCAAATCTGATCTGGGACCTTTCTTGCATATATTTTCACATATTGTAAATTCTGTTGTGACTATCTACTATAGAGAACTGTCATCACAACCGTCTTAGTTTAATAAAAGTATATGAACAATAATATAATGTAATATTTCTAAGCTGTAAACTGTATTCCAGTTATAAATGTCTGCATCCTCTTATGAGATGCAACACAACCTCCCAGTTAAGATTCTAGTGAAACACCTGTGACCCATGTCATTCCCCTCTACCCATGCTCTGTCTCATTCTCTGCATGAACCAAAAACCCCAACAAGAATAATCATAATACCACATAATAATGAATTCAGAAAGATGGTTATTCCTTCAAACTCTAGGGAGTAGGTCCTAATGTAATATGTATATCATACACTACAGCCGTGTTGTCCCCTGTATGTCCACACAAGGGTGTTTTGGCAGTTTCAAGCCTAGTGTAGTATATGCCGAGGAGACTGCCCAGCTACATACTCCCAGTTTATAGTTAGAAGTGATTACAAGTGTCAGTATGAGTCGACAGTGACATCCAAACCTGTTTCCTCATTATGTTGCTAAACACAAAAGGTTTTACAAAGGTGCACACTGTATTTCTGAGCACAGTACAGTACCAACACTAGTAAGCCAGCTGAATATTTAATACTCACCAGCTCTACATCAGGTGGGATAACCAGCCCTGCGGGAGCGACGAATGGTTCCTCACTCTCCTCAGGCTCTGCCTCTTCTATGCATGGGAAGAAATGTTCGGACAAAAAAAAAAAACAATATTAATTCTCATTACTAAAAAATTAAATATACCCTGCTGGATATATACCCAGCAATATTTTAAGATTGATTTTGTGTTCCTAAAACATTTAAATGGAAGAAAAACACAAGACCTCTTCAATTCTTCCTACTACAGATACTTGACAGTAAAATATCGCATTATTCATTTACTAGCCTTTACCTTCATCTGGATGTGATAAAAATGTACTGAGAAAAACAGAATAACATTTTTAGCATTTCACTGTAGGGAGCTTGCACAGTGAAGATGGGGGGGGGTGGCAAACTCCTTTGATTCTGTGAAAATATGATGAAATAAACCCTAAAGGCCTTCTGCCATATGCAATGATTTTACTAGGCCTCTTCTTCAGGTCTAAATTGGAACCAGTTGTTGGCTGGACCTCAACGTCACACAGTTCCTGTGTTCACTCCATCTTGTGTCAAACCCCAATTCCAGCTTAGTAACTATATGATCTTCTAAATCTAAGAGCAGCTCTTAATCATCACTTTGGTTATATAATAATGCCGTTTTAATGTCTGATTTGTATTTGGATGATGCTGCTATTCTAAAGAGGCAATATCCAAACATTAGGTATTGGCTCAGAGAGAGAAATACAGTGGGGAAAAGAATTATTTGATCCCCTGCTGATTTTGTAGGTTTGCCCACTTACAAAGAAATGAAGGTACTATCATTTTTATGATAGGTATATTCTAAAGGATAGAGACAGAATATCAACAAAATCCCAAAAAAACACATGATACAAATGGTGTAAACTGAATTGCATTTCAGTGAGTAAAATAAGTATTTGATCCCCCAGCAAAACATGACTCAGTGCTTGGTGGAGAAACCTTTGTTGGCAAGCACAGAGGTAAGATGTTTCTTGTAGCTGGTCACCGGGTTTGTGCACATCTCAGGAGGGATTTTGGTCCACTCTTCTTTACAGATCTTCTCTAAATCCTTATGGTTTCTTGGCTGTTGCTTGGCAACTCGATGTTTCAGCCTCCTCCATAGATTTTCTATAGGATTAAGGTCTGGAGACTGACTAGGCCACTCCATGACCTTAATGCGCTTCTTCTTGAGCCACACCTTTGTTGCCTTGGCGATATGTTTTGGGTCATTGACATGCTGGAAGAGCCATCCACAACCCATCTTCAGTGTCCTGGCTCAGAGAAGGACACTGAAGGACACTGTCTCTATCCTTTAGAATAAACCTATCATAAAAACGATAGACCTTTCATTTCTTTGTAAGTGGGCAAACCTACAAAATCTGCAGGGGATCAAATAATTCTTTTCCCTACTGTATCTGGAATCAGGAATTTCAATGAAGATGACAGGTACATTTGAATTAATTTAGCTAATGATAGACTACATGATTAGATGACGTTCCCTATTTTGGCAGGACAGGAAATTAATAAAGGGTTTTACATGCAGGATAAAAATGATACTTAGATGTCATGTTTTGACAGGGACCAGATAAGAAATCACACTGCAGTTAACCCACTGACTTATTTAGCTTTCACTCAGGAGCTAATAATAGTGATAATCATTTGATTTACATTGTGACTATGTGTCTCCATATTTGTCAGCTGTAACACCCTCTCGCTGAGGCTATAATTTGCACTGTTACAAGGGAGCATCTTGACTTTTTCATACATTTTTATTTGTGATAATGTCATAGTCTTTAAAGTAATAAAGTGAAAGAACTGACAAAGACCATATTAAACTGTAGCAGGGATTCAACTTAAATTGTCTAAAAATATTAATGGCCAGCAGGACATGACACTTACTGACTTATTTCCATCCATACTGCTTACCCTAATGAGGGTCGGGGGGTGAAGCCTATCCTAGCTGACATTGGGAGAGAGGTGGAGTACAGGTCGCCAGTCTATCACAGGACAACCACACTCACTCCTACGGGCAATTCAGAGTCACCAATCAACCTAAGCTGCATGTCTTTGGACTGTGGGAGGAAGCTGGAGTACCTGGAGGGAACCTACGCAGGCAAAGGGGGAACATGCAGTCTCTTTACAGAAAGGCACCAGGGGGGTGCTGTACACTATGCGTGACGACTCTGAGTCTGAATCATGTTGTAAATGTGCAGGAGGAGAAATAGCACGTCCCTACTGTGTTCATGTGCCACTGTTGATTTGAAAGCAGCAGCATTGCTGGTATGCTTTATATTTCAGATGTCTGTGTTATATGTGTTATATGTCACACTAGACGTCAGATTAAAGGTGTTTGTTTCCTCCAATACTGGAATGCCAGTATGAGAGTAAAAAGAGCACAGAGGCAGCATTATGCCAGCTTTTTTTTTTTTTGTTTAGTATAAATACGCAAAGCCGCAATAAAGAAGGACCAGATTAATGCAAATAATTAAGTCAAGCAGTTAAAAACATGTCATAGACACAAGGTACAGGCTATGTCAAAAATCCCAGATTTTGATGCAGTACATTTACAGCACACTGTAATGTGATTACTTTGAATAACCAGAAGTCCAGAAGGATGCATTGCAGTCTATAGGAAACACATTAGTGCCAAAGTAGAAGCAGAAAAATAAAACTACAAACATTTACCGAACACCATTCTGCAGTTTTTTGTTAACTTTACCATTAAAAGCACTAGAGTGTGTTTTGCTCTCCTACTTTTTCACGTTTTACACGCACTGTGCATTTTTGCAGGTACTATATCCAACTGAATGACCAACTCCATATGCATGGGTGTGTGACTAGCTAACGGTGTGAATTCTGTGAAGTCTGTGAGTGATGTGTATTCTCACCAGATTCCCTGTTAGCATCTTCCTCCTCAGTTGGCTGAGAGGGGTCATAATAGTCAGCAGTGTATTTGAAGCCTACTGCATTGTAGGAGCCTTCATCAGCCAGAGCCTCACTCAGACGTTTGTACTCCTCTTCTGTGGAAAACAAGAAAACACACAATGGAGAAGAATTTACTACAGTGCTGATCATCTTAATCAGATTGCATAGGCTTAGAGTTTCTATTTTGGTGTAGCCCTGGGTAACTAAATGATCACTAATTATTAATGCATTTATTGCAATAGTCATGTCATGAGTTGGATTATGTCATCAAGATTTGATGCCATTAAAATACATGTTCATATAAAGCCACATTTCTTGAATACTTGTTTGTTTTAGGGTTTGGCAAATTTATTGTCATTTGTACATTAGATTTTGAATAGTGCACTATATTAACAAACAGCAGCTCTTTATTATATTGTAATAATAATAATAATGCAGTACATATTACAGAATGCATGTGCCTGAAAGACTATCTTCCAACTATATTCATGTACAAAGACACCGATTAACAGAAAAGACAAAGAAAAATTACTTGATGGTTGCTAGATAAAAATATTCATGGTTACCTGGCCCTGGACACTGCCCATTTTTGGCTGAACTTCATGGAAAGCTATAGCTTTTATTAAAGAAGCAAGGGCAAAACTCCCAATGAAACTATCAATATTTCTAATGCTGTCCTGGTGTCCCTTCAGTGAACAGATGGGTAATAGCCTGAGTGAATGGGGCCAGCCCTCCACATTCAAGGGCAAACCAGCCTGGGGGATGAACCTTCTGCAGTGAGAGGGAGCATGTGTGTGTGCATGACAGATATTATTAGTTGACTCATTCTGCTCTGTCAGTTTGGGCATAAGACACCATATTTCACTTAAAACTGTAGCTTATTAATTCAGTTAGTCATTAAGTCTGTCTTTCAGAAGGATGCTTTGTCATCCATACAGCCTGTTTCATTATAATGTGAAATGACTGAGATGCAAGTACCCTAGATAAGTTGAGTGATTTGTCAGCTATGGAGCTCACAGTCAAAGGCAGTCCCTTTTTAAACAGCCTTAAATGCCTTAGGAGGAGATGCTTATATAGTATGTCCTGGAAAATCTGATTTTCTCAGGAAGACTAAATAAAGTTTATAGTAATATATAGCAAAATTTTTACTTTTCTATTTGAACAGACACATAAGCTTGTCATATTAGCCTAAGTGTTAAAAGAGAACACAGAACTAAGATTTTAGATTATCTGGAAACTAAATCAACCACTGACATCATGAGAAGAAAGTGAACACTTACTCTAAAAACAGTGAAATCAACAATAAAGGCAGTAAAAACACTAAAAGTGTTAAAGCTTTGGGCTAATTTCAACTTGATAGCAGCCATGCTGCTGCACCATGCTACTGGTGTTTATGTTTATGCAACCTTGGCCACCACAAAGGTATTCAGCCTAAATGACAGCTGCCTGCAAGAAGCAGTATCTGCCAGTAAAATACAAGGGTCAGGATGGCTACAAATGGGAATTAATGCCTGTCAGAAGAAAATGAGTGTCAAGCCATTTGTAAGTGTCCCATTGTTTCTACCATTTGCAACTAAAACTAGAAGTCCTTTTTACTATTTATTTGAATGGTCAATAAATAATATAAATAAATGTTACAACAAAATGTTGTACATAGACAATATCAATAACTCATTTTTTCAAAGACACGGCCAACTTAACGTCTCTCACATTTACTTGTTTACCTACTTTGACTTTCTAACTCTGGTAGCAGAACATAGCCATACTGTGCATGTCAGTAATGAAATTTTCTCACTTCTTGATGGATTTTGCTGTGGTTCATTACACCATTAAGTCATAAAATGATGGGGTGAGAGATGGCAAAATTTCCAATAACAATTCAAACTCTTCTGCTTGCTAGCTGTTTGTTTATGGAATGTGTGTTAAAACATTTTGGATTATAAAAATTCCTAGTGTCAGAACAAGCACCCTGCTGACCTTGTCTAGCCTCTTCTTCCAGCAGGTCAGTGTGTAGAGCCAGGTACCTCTCCTCATCACACAGTGCCTCAATCCTGGCTTCTTCCTCCGACAGCTGGTAGGATGTGTTCCATGACCCGCTGTCATACTCTGAAAGGTCATGTAAGTGACCACGCCCATCGTATCTGTTGAATGATAAAAAGAATTAGAGAGAAGGAATCTGACAAAGCTTTTTAAACACAACATGGACCTACTTACCACGAGAAGGGGACTTAAAACCCAAAACATATAACATATATATCAAAAATGCTCTACCTCTGTACAGTACATCTGTCATAAGGAAGTCTACTTGTAAAATACTAGAAGATGGGAAAGTTTCTCAAAATACTGACAACACATTGTCTTAATTAAGTCCTTGGGCTTAACTGTCAGTACCTAAAATACCTAACAAGCTTTCTGCTACTATTTCCTTCCTGAACAAGTCTTACAAACCAACAGCCCTACATCGGGCGGGAAGGGGGAAAAAAATAAATAAATAAAAACAAACAAAGCAACTCGCCTCTTACCTTACAGGGTTCAATTCCCCCCTGTAACATCATTACTCCTACATCTGCAAAGAAAGTTACACAAACCCGAGCACATAAATACCTATCCGTAAGAACCCAAATGGATGACATTTTCCAGGGTTCGTCCCTCTACGCCACTTCTCAGCTGCAGTTTCTTCATGAAGACAAAGTGCTGTTGTTGGCATTCGGGGTTTGGCGGGACCCCTTAGCCTACCTTGCTGGGGGAAAAAACTGGGTTATGTGATAAAGACACACATACAAAGGTTGTACAAATGAAGCACAAGTTGGGCCACTGCAGATCAAAGTGATTCAAAAGGACGAGGAATGTTATGGTTACAGAAACGTATTATGTGTCCTGCATAGGGGTGGCAATAAAACATAACTGCATCACCTGCAACAGCATTTTGCAGAAAGGCTAAAATAACCCATAAAATGTTTGTTAATAAGTTGAACCCAAGTTTCACACTAACATTGTTGTACTCAGAATCATATTATCTGCAGTAACTTAGTCCTGGTTAGAATTTGCTCTGGTCTTGTGGATACCATCACAGCATAAGATAATCCTAGGTCACATGCTTTGTGCACACATTGCTATTTTGTGCAAAAGTAAATTTGGAAAATGGAAGACATAGTGAAACATCTTATGTGTCATACTCCATTTTTAATTTTATATTTCAATTACACAGTAGAAATGGGGTAAAGGTTTCCAGAGTAAATTCTCCCAACATGCCAAGATGCAAAGCCCAGCTGGAGGCTAACATTTGTAGTGTTAAAGGTTAAAATATGTGTACGTGTTCATATTTGTATCTAAAATACACTCAGTTGCCAGTTCACGTGGTACAAGCAAATACAACAGCTCTTAAAGTCTTATGTCCTTTTAATGAATGTTATGCTTATTTTTCGTTTGAACTGCTTCACATTGTTGTTGATTAGATCCTGTCCACACTATCTGTACCAAGTGCTGCTGTATTAGCCTGCATTAGTTTTAGCTGGTGCGGCTAAAAAAAAGAGCAACTTGGTGTTATACTGATAGCATCATGGCTGATGTTAGCAAAAACTGGCTAGGGTGTGCATCTTAGCATACCATTCTAGAAACTTGAGATACCATTTGTTGTCGTTCAGGACAAAACAAAACAAGCTAGCAAACGAAAAATAAAACACTTGTCGACAGATGCAGGTATTTCCAACCTTCTAATGTTACAAGACAAATCTCCGAGCAGTCCCTTGAACTTTGAGAGAGGCTAACAGACAGGATAGATGGTTAGCATAATGTTTCGGTCTAAGTTTTTTCAACCGACCTATCAATCATGAAGCTCTTGTCCCCCATCCATGGGATAAGATGTTTTCCATGTTCGTGATAAAGAGCCCTTTCGTCGTCTCGGAACAGTTTGCAGGCGTATCCAAACACCAAGAGGTCCGCGTATTTGTCACTGTCACTCACATCCTTCTTCACCGGTTTGTTGTTGTGGTCTTTCTTTGCCGCTCCGCGACGATACATCTCCCATTTAATCGTGAAAAGAAATTAGCTTGCAAAGCAGGATACTAATGATCACACGGTGATGGTTTTCTATGAACCAAATAGCTTGCAGTCGGTCCAAATGGTACAATAATCCGTGATGTTTTGCTAAAAAAACTAAATCCTACGTGCCATCAGTCGCCATGTTGGAAAGCATGTAAATACTATTGTAGTTCCGGTGCGCACTTACGACAATTTCGCTGCCTCATTAAAACGTATCATAGTGTGAAATATTTTCACTTACAATTGTGTTTAAATTTTTTCTCAGCCGTAAAGTTTATTTCGGAAAATAAATGTCATTGCTTATATGTTATATAAGTTTCCAGCGTTTTGTTTTCACATCTGTCCAATGTGCTGTTGGTGAATGATCCCTACTGAAACGGAACTGATGAAAGAAGCCAGTGTTGCAATGATTGTATGGCAGCATTACACTGTTATCATTAGCATAATGGGTATTATTGGAGTATATTCCCATTACCACAGATAAACATAATGTTAGCATAATGCAGAGTCTTCAGATTCTCAGATTGTGTAGTTTGAATGTGATTCTTTCAAATCCACAGGACTGTCAACAATTCTTGAAGAATAGTTATCAAAGTCAAAACTGCAGGCCATAAAGGCATTTTAAAATCAGGATCAAGATAGAATTCACTATTTGTTCTCTGTATACAGAACAAAGTAGGCTAGGAAGACACGTTGATTCCTTTCAGCTACTTTTTTATTCTCCTTTTCTTGAGTATTGAAAAGGTTGATCCACCTGCTTTCAAGACCTATCCAGCATATAATGAGGTGTTTTTTTTTTATTCTATTTTATTTTTTGGTTAGATTTTTTTTTGCACAAAAGGACAAACACATCTATTTTCAAATCAAACCCAAACAATATACTGTACCTACTATAGGAAAGCACAGCCTGAAAGAAAAAAGCAATTAATTACAAATAAAATTGTCATTAAATATCCTTGCGGTCCATATGCAAGGTAGCCAAAATACTTGGGAATTAAATTCATATATTGGAGCAAAGTTGCCCTGAACAGTTTCTCAATATGGGATGGTTTTGGACAGTTTTCTTGACATTGAATTCATACAAAAAAAAAAACAAAAGTTTTAAATTGATATAGTATATAATACAAAAATACAATATACTATATAATATAAATCAGTTTGTCTCACTTGCCATTCTCTGCATTTACATTCAAGGGCAATACAGATCAGTTGTCTGAATGGCAATTTAGCTTAGCTTGTAGCTAAAGTATAGAGCAGCGTACTAAGTCTGTCTCATATTAATGTGGAGCAATGGTCACGCTTCCATAAAGACTCAAATTTGCTGTTGTACAGTAACACTTCAAAAAGCATCAGTGGCAGGCAGAAATCTTCTGAATTATGCACTTTTCTCATCTAGGTCAACAACCCACATCACATTTTCATAGTCAGTATGTGCATAAATAATGAAAATTGTGGGAGGGAGAGTGGTTTCATTTTTGTTGGTTATTTAGAGAACTACATAAGCGCACAGAGTGGTTATATCATCAACAATATCACCCATTATCATCCTTTTCTTTTTAATTTAAAACAAAGCAAAATAAATTCTGCATGATACCAGGTCAAACCTAAGGTAAAGTATACAGTTGAGCTTGTATCCGACAGTAACACAAAGGAGATACAGTACAGCAGGTTGGCTCTGTAGCATAAGCATCAATTTTATCGCCAAGTATTATCAAAAGTACAAGGGATTTTACTTCAGCCCAATGCCACAATGCTTTTGTCACTACAACTGCAGACTGTTTTGTTAAAAATGTGTCTACATGTTCAGAATCATGAAAGCAGAGGGTGAAGCGAGTAGGAGAGAGTGAGGGAGGGAGACCATTAATTAATTCAGAGATTTGTTGGTTGTACTGCAGTGGAAACATTAGTGTGTAGAGTACAAATACACAGTGCTATGATGAAATTTTTGTTTGTTATGAAATAAGCATAGCAGTGATTAATTTAATACTGCCAGAGTTGACTGCTAATTAACAGTTGCTCTGAATGACTTCTAAAGAAATGATGTATTCAGTTTAAAAATATGTGCCAGGATAAAGTTCCATTCTTATGTTAACCGAGAACACAGGCTGAGTACGAGCAAGGGGTATGATCTGCCACGTGCTCTACCTGCATTGGTTGCTAAATAAAACTAAATACATTTGTGTGGGTTTCAGTCAGAGTTATTCACTCCATTATTTCTTGTGGTAACACTGGAACAGAAGTGTTTGCTTTATGTGGTGCTATCAGTATCCAACCTAGTGCTTCTTCTTTATAATCAGTCTGCAGAGCCTCAATAACAAGGCTTTGCAGCGAATGCATGCTGAGAACCAGGGGGAAAAACTTTAAAATATTCCTCAAATAATGCAGTCAAAAGATCATCACATTGCCCCTTATTTATTTTACCACCATATTGTCTACCAAAGAAAAGAACAAGATCAGACTCCCTGCTTTGATGGTTACATTTTTAAATTTTATTATGAATAATCTGCTGTCTCAAAATAATGTTAGTTTTCATCTCAAATAGTGTTTTCAGCATGACCTGAGTAGTAGATTTGGAGAAAATATTTCTGGTTTTTCCCAAGAGTAAACACACCATAATCAGTTCCTTCACAAAAATCCACACTCATACTAAAGATACACACTTTTCCCATAACTGTAAAACACTATTCATACATTCTTCACTGATGCCTCATGCCCCATGGTTGAGGGCATTGTCATCCTGTAAGAGAAAACCCATTAATTCAGGATTTTACTTTAATTTGTCACCTTTCTGCACATGATAGTTTTGTCTTTAATGTTACTTGACAATGTGTTGCTATAAGGGTCATTTGTATGGTCAGTGCCACAATGTAAATGATTTAAGTTGTCATTAAAATGCCAATTTCAGAAAAAAAGCACCTTTGGTCAAAGTGTTTTAAAATAATCCCTCTCGAGTGTAAGAGGTATGTAGTTTGTGTATTGGACTGTTTGAGAGCAAAGAGACTTTGACCTGACAGTTAGCCTCATCTTCAAAATTTGTGTGTTGTTTTGAGAAAATGGTGAATTGTTTCAGAAAATGTGCCTTATCAGTTGAGAAAAACTGTAATACTTCCTGTGATACTGCTGAAGAAAATGTCAATAGCATTAATGTCTCCTGAGTAAGATTTCACAACCTAATAGCAGAGATGCTTCAGTAATCAGCTCTCAGAATTAGGGCATGAAGAAACTTTGACTGCTCTAAGTCTGTTCTTTGATCTTACTGAATAGTTCTCTGAGAGGATTAAACTGTCATATTAGATAGATTTGCCTGTGTGGAGAATAATATAAATCTTCCAATTCCCCACTGCGAGATCCATGACCTTTTGCATCAAGCAACTGTATATAGCAGCGTGAATGAAAAATGCAAAGCTCTCCACATTTAGACACTTTGTTTTTTCTTGTTATGCTTGGCACAACATGTCAAAATTCACTAGGGTGACAGGAAAGAAAAATCTACAACACTGCCAAAAAAGGGCTGCATATGAAAATTCAATTTATTGTTGGCGCAAAGTGCATCTGGCAGCAGCGTACTGAACAAATTCTTGTGATGAAGCATGGGTTGTTTTACTGATACAGCACAGTGACTGTAGCCAGCTGCTGAGAGCACATTCAGCTCTTCTCTGTGTCAGTCAACTGAGCTGTCAGATAACACCATTAGAAATGACCCTTTGGCTCTCCTTATCACCTGCTTTGTGCTGTAGCACATGCTCAGACATAGCTCATGCACCCCTTATGTCAAGGTTCGTGTAATCAGTCCAGGTGATCCTCTCCATGAGTGACAGGTTGCACAGGACATAAGCCACCAAGACCAAATGTCCTGGATCAGCAGCTGTCAGTATTATTTAGGGGCAAGGCAAGTCAAGTTTGATTGTGATGCAAAGCCAAGTGGATTTACTGGGATTAGTCAGACATTAATGGAAGCCGCAGGCTCTTATCATTATTTCACACAGAGTCAACCCTTCCAGGTGGGTTTAAACAAAGTCTGAAATTAATCTATGAATATTTATTGGCCATCTCAAATAAGGCCCTGCTAATCCATCAGGATTCTTTTGTGAGAATGATTAAGAGATATTTTGAGCTTGCCACCTTTAGGGCTGTTTATGTGCTTTGTTCACAGTATCTCAGTGATTAATGCTGTGATTAAGTCTTACCTATGATCGATTGTAACTTTTATTAGCCACCAAGGTCTGTCACCAAGGTGTTTATGATTTGTCTTCAAGTGATTTGGGGGTGTACACAAACACACAATAATCCAAACACGTATGCTTGTGCAGACACAAGCTCGCAAGTAATGAGAAGATTGTTGGGAGAGATGAGGCAATAACTTGCCCCTTAGTTCTGTGTGTACAGTCTCATTGTGTTTATACAGTAATCTTCCAATCCTCCACATACACAAATTATCTTACACACATCAGCAAATGATGTTCAGACATGCTGCAGCCATGAGATGGACATCAGTTACCACTGATAAGCAAAGGGTAGATTTATGTAAATTAGGTCATCACGAGGCTGAGGCAAAGAGCATTGTGTGAATCCATTTCCACACTGTATGTTGTGGTTAAATTCATGTGGCTTGAACAGGAAAAACATTTTGAATAGCTGTTTTGTTTTAAGTCACTTTTACTTAAAATAGCTATGGGTTAGTCTTAGACATAAATTGATGTATGTTTCTGTTAGTATAAGTCTTATATATTTTTTTCTCATTTATATTTGACAGTATCTCAGTTCTATGTGTCTTTGTCTTGTTTCTCCAACTTTCTATCCCCTCTAACTTTTCAGCAGTTTAAAACAAAGTGTTTTATTCTAATTTCTTAGAAGTTTCTGACTCCTAATTGGGTTCTCAGACCTACTCTTGGGTCATTGTTGAAACTTTAAGGGTATCCATTTATTTAAATTTTATGGACTGATATTTGCACTTTAATTAACTTATGGAAAGCAGTAGCCATTGGTTTGAGCAAGGACTCTAAGTAATGTTAATGAATTTTTGTTTCACAATGTCATATTTGTTCAATAGAGTGAAATTACCCATTAAAATCCAAAGCGTTATCATTTCCTTCAGGACTTCTGGTTGATGAGTATTTGGCTCAAGATCAAAATTATCGGGTCTACCCAGTGTTCACAGTGTAATTCAATCAAATACAG